GAAACTGTCTCCTTTTTGTCTCCTTTTTATCTTAATATAATTCTATAAATATATAAATATAAATATGAATTAATATGTCTATATTTACATTTGTTTTTTATTCATTTATTTATTTTTTTTTTTATTTATGTTTTTGTTTTTGGCTTGATTTGTAGCAGTGAGTGCCTTTCGTATTAATATATATTTTTATGTAATAATTTAAATTCATTTATATTTATTTGTATTTATTTATTTATATTTATTTATTTTTTATTTTTATTTTTTATATTTTTTGGGCTCAGTTTGTGGTGGTGAGTGCATGCAGTATAATAAATATAACAATTAATATTTATTTATATTTACTTATTTATTTATTAATTTTTATTTATTTATTTTATTTATTTTTATTTATTTACTTTTATTTATTTATTTTTATTTTTTTATATTTTCAGGCTCGGTTTGTGGTGGTGAGTGCATGCTGTACACTAAATATAACAAAATAAAAAAATAATAAATCTTTATTTATGTTTATTTATTTGTTTATGTTTATTTACTTATTTTTATTTATTTATTTATTTATTTATTTTTATTTATTTTTATTTATATTTTCAGGCTCGGTTTGTGGTGGTGAGTGCATGCAGTATAATAAATATAACAAAAAAAATAGATAAAAAAATAAATATAAATAAATATTAATTATTTTTGTTTATTTTTTTTTTATATTTTCAGGCTCGGTTTGTGGTGGTGAGTGCACGCTGTACAATAAATAAGAAAATAATTGATCTTTATTTATGTTTATGTATTTATTTATTTATTTACTTTTTATTTTTATTTATTTTTATTTATTTATTTTTATTTTTATTTATATTTTCAGGCTCGGTTTGTGGTGGTGAGTGCATGCGGGCACTCTTTACTTTTCGCTCAACGAATGGGCTACGGCCTCCACTACTCTTGTCTCCCTGTTGCTGGTTCTTTTTATTTCACAGAACGAATGTAAGTTTTATTTTATTTTGTTTTATTTTATTTTATTTTATTTTATTTTGTTTTATTTTATTTTATTTGTCTCCTTTGTCTCTGTCTTTGTTCTCTTTATTTGCCTCCACTACTCTTGTCTCCCTGTTGCTGGTTCTTTTTACTTTACAGAACGAATGTAAGTATTTATTTATAAATAAATAAATATAAATATAAATAAATAAATATAAATATAAATAAATAAATATAAATATAAATATATATATATGCATGCAGGCTGAACGGCAAGGTGTACCATATATAGATACAACCATGAATATGTATGCACCTGTATATATATATATATACATATATATATATATATATATATANTATATATATATATATACATATAACATGTAAAACAATAAATAAATAAATAAATAAATATAAATATATTTATATATGCATGCATGCATGCATGCAGGCTGAACGGGAAGGTGTACACGGTGCAGGACGCTCGTCTTCCTTTTGCAGCAGTGCATGGAGACCCAGATGTAGTAGCAACCGATAAAACTAGGTTTGGGCCTACAGCACTGCCTCTTCCTTTTTTAGAGAGATATAATAAAAATACATTTATAGATTTTATAAAAGTTATACAGCCTGATGCAGCGCTGCTTCAGGTGTATGTACAGCTCCTCAATACACAACATATGCGAAATTATCTTTTTAAAAATTTCCTCTTTGAAATTCCTATACTCAACAGAAATCTATTCGCTCATGTAAACCCTAAACCCTAAACCCTAAACCCTAAACCCTAACAGACTTTAAACCCTTAAACAAACCCTAAACCCTTGCAAATACACTCACTGTACAGTGTAAAATTCGTGACGCTTTTTTTTCCGCCGGAAACGCAGATATATCGAGGGTTTTATGGGGATGCATTCAAGGGTTTAGGGTTTAGGGTTTAGGGTTTAGGGTTTAGGGTTTAGGGTTTACTGCAGGACCTGAGGAAGATAATTCCTTCTATTAAACCCGAAGACTTAACTTATGCAAAAGGGTTTGGGGGTGTACGCCCCCAACTGATCGATAAAAACCAAAAGAAACTTCTCCTCGGTGAAGGCAAAATCATGACAGGTAAGGGTTTAGGGTTTAGGGTTTAGGGTTTAGGGTTTAGGGTTTAGGGTTTAGGGGAATGGTATTTATTTTTTTGTATTTATTATTTATATTTATAACATTATATTTTTCTATATATTATATATCTATTTGTGTATATATAAATATGTATATATATAATATTTACATAATAAATACAGTAATAAATTATGGATAAAATTTATTTATTTATTTATTTATTTATTTATTTATTTGTATGCTATACACAGGAAAAAATATAATATTTAATATAACACCATCACCCGGGGGCACCACTTGCTTGGGGACTGCAGAGACAGACATGAGAGAAATATGTAAACAATTAGGAGCACAAATTAACGAAAAGAAGTTCAAAGAAATTCTGCTAGAAGGAGAATACCCAGTTGTATACTAAAGTTTATTTATATC